CTAGGCAATTTAGTTGGTATGACTATTTAGCAACACTTCACAGTCGGCAGTTAAGATTTCCCTTAGTCTAATACCAAATGTTATGGTAGATTTTGTGGTATTTGCCCAATGGAAATTGGACCAAAACCACCAACTAAATTCTCACGGGCTTTGAACAGATGTCAGCCACTCTAAATAGGGCAGAGCCCTTATTTTGAAATGCACAGATGTGCTACCTGTAACCCCACAGGGTATGGCAGTCTTATCTATCTTCAGTGGCAGAGCACAGGAAAACTCAGGTTTTTTTTTTTCTTTTTTGGCTACCACTATGGACAAACACACATGCCTTTCAAATAACCAACATTCCAACCCCTATTTAATCATCTCAGTGCAGCTGAAATAAAGTCTGTGAAACAAACTTGGCAGGACGCACCTGAGTCTTTAAATCCAACTCACTGCCAGTGTCCCAATACAGTAACCTGCTATAACCTACAGTATACAAGATATTCTTGGTTTTAGAGACATTCTGAAAATTGTACTGCTGATCCAGAATTAGCTATGCTTTGGGGCACCACGATGAAAAGGTCAAACCTTTGGGAGAGATGTTTTCCCTTCCAGTGTCTCAAAACTCATCTTACTCTTCTCATTAGCTTTACTCTAGCCTTGAAGAATTTAGTGGAACAGCTGTTAAAATTTTCTACAACAGTTACATGATTTCAAACATATAAAAGGAACATAAATTTTTACCAACAAAAATACCATACAGATATCTCTTGCATTTTTGCTAAATCACAACTTTGAAGTTTCACATAATTTATTAATGCAATGAGAATAAAAGCATTTTAAAACAAAATGCTATATATTCCAAGTCTCTCTTGTAAGGGCCATGATAAACAGTCAGTGACTGCTGGTTTCACTCCATCTTTAAATCTGTCTGTAATTACCTTTTTTTCCTAAACAAATAGTTTATACATTATTTGAAGTTCAGTGATTAGTACTGCTTCAAGTTATAATACCTTATACACATATTGCTTAGATACATACTGTGCTTGTGATACATACTCTGTTACAGCAGAAGCCATTCAGTACATGATGGCAAAAAGCAAAGACGTTAAAGAGGTCTAGACAAGGTATCAATATGGTTTAAGAATATTCAAGCTAAAGGAGATCTTCACTAAAAAAATTACTGGGTTTATGGAAAGTGACAAGACTCAAGCGCAGGATGAAAGCTTCAAACATTCCAGGTGAAGTTATCATAATTACAAAGAAGGAACGAGAGAAGAAAACTTTCCCTATCACACTTCTCCACAATTTTTCTGCCTGATCACCTTTTTCCCCAACTGAGTACCAACCAATACTGGCCATGCCTTTGGCTGGGCAAAACATGCTTGGAAGAGTTACTGCAAACCAGGGTACAAAGAAATGTTACCAGTCTTCATCACATGCCCTTTGATTGCTAAAATCAGATCACAATTTCCTTTTCCTATGTGACAGGGGATATTTAAACCTGATGAGCCTATATGTCTCACAGGGCTCTTCATACAGATCAGTTACTCATCAATACTTTCTTAAGTTTTAATTAGTGACACAATGTCTTAGGAAGGAGTGTGAGTACTCATTATTAATTACTCTGCAATACAGCCTTCAGTTAGAAATTAGGAGAATGAGTCAGAGGTTGATTCTTTAGTCAAAGACTGAAGTTTTAATGCCTTGGGCTTCATCACTTGTTTAATACAAATAAGAATGGCACGGATAATACTTGAAATGTGATCTAAAGTTTGACTATGTCACATGGCAAGCCATTTGTGTGCTTCTCAAGTGATTCCGCTGCTCCTAGACAATTTTCTCTATGACAACAGAAACTAAGAAAACTAGTTTTCAACAGTGTGTTTGCTGGTGGCTTTACCTATTTTACTGATGAAATCCTGCACTTACAAATAGCTGACTGCTTGGATTCAATTCCAAATATAAGATGCAACCCACAGCCCTAGTTATCAACAAAGCCCCCACCTCAAGGAAACCATTCAGGTGAAGAAAGAGAGATAAACCTAATTCTCATTTTTAACCTCATAAATGTGTTGTATGGTCACCTTTTGCTTTATTCTTTTAAGGTAACTTACATTTCCTACTTTATTGAATTAATTTTTTCAGGGGTAATTAATTACATTTCTTAGTTGCTTTGTGAACTATGGTCTTTTAAAGGTAACAGTGCAATTTGCTATCAAACTGCTAAATGTAAGCAATTTTAAGTAAGTCGGTTAAAATAAAGTACAATTTCAAATATACCAGTAGCAAATACTATAAAATCTCAGCAGAAAACCAGAGAGAATAAATATGTTGTACACAATGGAACCAGAACATTCTGCCAATGCCTCTAGTGCAGCATGGCTGGCTGGGGAATTCTGGAAGTTGAAGCCCACACATCTGAAAGTTGCTAAGGTTGAGAAACACTGTTCTAGTGAGTGATTTAGGCTTAGGAGGAAATTTCATTGGTAGAGTTACCACCGAGAAGTCCTCCTCTCTAATATCTGCCAACTTTATCTTTGCT